GTTATCTTCTGAAGATTGTTTATGTATTGTAACGAATTTCCACTTCATGTTCTGTAGTAGTTATTCATCATAATGTATTGTTATCATCTGAAGATTGTTTATGTATTGTAACGAATTTCCACTTCATGTTCTCCAGTAGTTATTCATCATAATGTATTGTTATCATCTGAAGATTGTTTACATATTTCAATAAAGTAAGTAAATCTAACTTCTAACAATCTTTCACTTCATCATACCGTGTTAAAAACTGTTATAACCACTTCCTCTTGCACAACCTATCACTCCAGAAAACATAATTGGTTTTATTTGAGCCAACATCTCACTATTATGACTACACTGGGGCAAACAAGAGAGTTATTAACTGATTTAACAAATGTCTTGTATGTCCTGATGAAGCCTTAATGGCAAAACGTTGGCTTAAATAAAACCAGTTATGTTTTCTGGAGTAATAGGTTTTGTTTATTTTTTCTTTTGTCCATTCACTGTTCTAAGCTCTAAATTCCATTGCTTTATTTTATATCAGTGTATATGTAAGTCCCAATCCCAGTATTTAAGAGTGGACATTTGCTGTCACGTATTGAGAGTTCCATTTGGTCTATATTATATATATAACATTCCTTTTATTCTAGTGTAAACTGTTAAGAAATTTAAATGTAGAGCAGTGGAAATTAAATACCATCTATTTCTTGAAAGACCTTAGTTGAGCTGTAATCCAATAATTTTTTATTTTCTTTTACAGAAATATCCTAGCCACTGCATGTGAGGACAAACAGGTTCGGGTGTTCTACGTGGGATCTAGCAATTCTCAGCCCCTGAAGATTTTATCAGGTTAAAAATACTTACGTTTCAGTTTAAAGAAATATAAATGTTTGACAGACTTGTAAGTTTTTCAAGCACACTTTCAGTATTAGCTGATTTAGTGCTTCACTGATTATATTATATGACCAGTTGTTATGGAAACATAAGATTTGAATTAGCTCATAACATTATCAGTAAAGTACAATGTTTTGTTTTCCAGTTTTCTTGATAATCTTGTTTTCTAACCATTATCTATGATAAATTTAATGTGCTAAATTTAGAATCAATAGTAAGGAAAGATGAATTGATAGATCATTTTCATATTTCTGGAGGACTTTTCCTCTCAAAGTCACACATTGTTTTCAGGCTTTTTGAGATTAACAGAGTCTAGATTTAAATTCACAAAACTTAAAAAAAAATAATCAGCATTGTAGCTTTTTGATTCGAATTCAAGGCAAAACAAACTAGGTCATTGGGCTGTCTAGCTTTGTGTTAGTTTTAAAATGATTTACTACATTAAAACTTAACAGGTTTTGTTTTTCTTCCACCAGGGCACACACTCAAAGTGTTTCGAGTGAAGTGGTCCTTACTGAAAGATGGGATTCTTTGCAGTAGCTCTGATGATAAGTTAGTGTCTTGTGGTGAAACTAATTACCGTGTGTTTAAGTATGACTGAAACTAATTACCGTGTGTTTAAGTATGACTGAAACTAATTACCGTGTGTTTAAGTATGACTGAAGGTAATTAGTTTCAGTCATACTTAAACACATGGTAATTAGTTTCAGTCATACTTAAACACATGGTAATTAGTGTGTGTTTAAGTATGACTGAAACTAATTACCGTGTGTTTAAGTATGACTGAAACTAATTACCGTGTGTTTAAGTATGACTGAAACTAATTACCATGTGTTTAAGTATGACTGAAACTAATTGATATGGGGTTTCTGTCAGAAATGTACACTTAAATTATAGAGCTTAATCATCTCTCTAACACATTGTCCAACTTTATACAGAGATAGAGCTTACTTTACATTTACCAAGTCCATCAAATGTACATTTTTCACAAATTTTAAAAGTTCTGTTGATATTCAGAAAGTATAGAAGGTATTGTACCACATGATTTGATGCCATAATGAACATAGAATTATTTTGATATGTATCTAATTTTCAGTCTTTTACAAAAGCATACCGATAATTAGAGGCCTCCTTGTGACAAAAGCATACCGATAATTAGAGGCTTCCCCATGACAAATGCAAACCGATAATTAGGGGCTTCCCCATGACAAAAGCGTACCGATAATTAGCAGCTTCCCCATGACAGAAGCGTAATGATAATTAGAGGCTTCCCGTGACAAAAGCGTACCGATAATTAGCGGTTTCCCCATGACAAAAACATACCAATAATTAGGGGCTTCCCCGTGACAAAAGCGTAACGATAGTTAGAGGCTTCCCCGTGACAAAAGCTTACCTATAATTAGAGGCTTCCCCGTGACAAAAGCTTACCAATAATTAGGGGCTTCCCCATGACAAAAGCATACCAATAATTAGGGGCTTCCCCGTGACAAAAGCGTGATGATAATTAGAGGCTTCCCCGTGACAAAAGCTTACCTATAATTAGAGGCTTCCCCCATGACAAAAGCGTAACGATAGTTTGAGGCTTCCCCGAGAAATAAGTTTAGTTGTTGAGAATCATTGCAATACAAGATATTTAATTTTTTAGGACATTTATAAAACTGATTGGTATGTCTGTAACAACTCTCTATAAATCATCACTATTCCCTTCTTTATCTTGAACACACTACATTAACACTGAAGTACAAAGTAACTATTTTTTGCAATTAAATCGTTATGGTTCTCTAGATGTATCTTTGATACTGTGTTTTTGAAACAAAAACATTACAGTTCTCTTAGGGATTGCACCTGGTTACAGGTAAGCATATACTCCTCTTTCTACAGCTCCAGGTTTTCTCCTCGGAGATCTGAGACGATCTTGTGAACATTAGTAATTATTTGTTTCTTCTGCCTTCTGCTGCAGAGGATTAAAATATCCTTCTTTGAACAAGGCACTGATGAACATTTCCTCACACAAGTTTCTTTCCTTGAACACAGCTGTGATGGACCTATCCTCACACAAGTTTCTTTCCTTGAACACAGCTGTGATGGAC